CCGCCTTACTGAAGGCCACCACCAGCTTGTATGGCTTTTCCATCGCCTGCTTCTCCTCTTGCCCTCGACTGTTTATTTTTCATATTGGCCTAGCTGATCCTTGTTAACAAGTCAAGTGAGACGATGCCGTTCTGTTCAAACCCCGAGCGGCTTCCCACATCACTAAGCAGGATACAAAGGTCTGCGAGGCTCATCTGACTCTTCAGTCCCCTCCCCCACCCCTACACCTCCTGCCATCCTGGCCTCCTGCCCGTTCCTGGAACACTGCTAGCCATTTCTTCCTCAGGGCCTTTGCACTTGCTATTCCTTTGGCACGGGAAGCTTTTTCAGGTAATCATATGCCTTATGCTCTCACTTCATTTTGTTCTCTGCTCATGTTACCTTCTAGAGAGGCCTTTTCTGACTGCCCCGTGCATCTCTGCCTCTTATGCTCCTTGTCCCTTGAACCAGACTTTATTTTTCTTCATTGCACTAATGCCCCCTGGCATGATACATGTGACCTGGTCCTTACTGATGGTCTTTCTCAGTAGACTGTAAGCCCTGGAGGGCAGGAACCATATCCGTCTAAATAGAGCACAGTGGGTGTGCGGCAGGGATTTGTGAAATGGATGGCCAGGAACGATGCTTCGCGTATGTAGATTTCATCTCTGTCCTGGGACCTGGCTCCTTGGGGCCATTCTGACTTCCTTGCTGCAATCCTGGTCCCGGGGAGGGGTGGCCCCAGCCTCCCGCCCTCATGCTCCCAGGCTGGGTCAGTTGGTCCACCACCCTGGAGTCCCCGTCTGTGAACATCCTGATCGACGTCCATAGTGGGCGTCACCCTGCCGGCATCTCCCGCAGTTCCAGATGCCAGAGCCGAGGAGGCATTGATCAGTCACCCTGCTCTTGTGGTACAGAGAAGTCGATGCAGAGCCCGCTTCCTGGAATGTCATCCAGCACCCGGCTCCCCCTCACTCTGGGTGACGCGGTGCAAGGAACGTGTCGCTCAGCCTGCCAGAGGGCGAGGGGGAGATGGGCGTCTCGGCTCCGTCTCCCGCCTCCCGCTTGCTCTCCTCCGTCGGATGTCAGAGCTGATGCAAGGCAGTGATGGCCTGACCACTGCCCCAAGGCGGGTGACAGAGGGGAGCCACTGGCCAGGGCCAGGCAGTGGCTGTCATGCCCCACAGTGACGGGCAGAGGCAACTGCTGTCCAGAAACTGAGGCAGAGCAGGTAGCTGGCAAAATGACAGCCTGGGAATGTGGCCTTCCCGCCGAATGGCCTCCCTGGAGGTCTCTCTCTTTTTATTTTTGTTAATCCTCTCCTGAGGATAACTTTCCACTGATTTTTAGATAGAGTGGAAGGGAGGAGGGAGGAAGAAAGAGAGAGAGAGAGAGACATTGATTGGTTGCCTCCTGCATGACCCCAGTGGGGGCCAGGGATCAAACTTGCAACCCGGGTACGTGCCCTTGACTGGAAATCGAACCTGCGACCCTTCGGTCTGCAGGCCGACGCCCTAACTGCTGAGCCAAACCACCCAGGACTGGATGTCTCTCTAACCGGGGACACCCACCTGCGTCCGTAGCACTGAGTCCGCTGTCCATGTGGCAGTTTGAATTCCACGGGGAGATTTCATAAACCTTCCATTTGCCCCTACACCTCCTGGGTTTTCCCTTTAAAATTCCTCTACTTGGCGTAAAAGCCGCTCCTGTTCATGTGTGGTTGTGAGAGTTTTGACAAGCAGGATATAGCAGAGTTCTGACAGCACCCCCACATTCTGCCTTGACCCCAGGGTCAGCCCCCTCCCCGCCTGCTGCTGCTGCGACCACCGATCTGTTTTCTGTCCTTAGAGTTGTGCCTTTTCCAGAACGGCCCATGCACGGATCATGCAGTCTGCGGCCTTTGAGACCGGCTGCTTCTGCTCAGTTTGATGCATGGAGATTTACTCACATTATTGGTCCTTCGGTCGTTTCTTATTGCCGAAGTGTAATTTCACTGAGTGGAGATTTGTTCATCCGTTCCCCAGTCGAAGCATTTTTAGGTTCTTTCTAGTTTTGGGTGATTATGAATAAAGCTACTATGAACGTGCACATAAAGGCTTTTGTGTGGACATAAGTTTTCATTTTTCTTGGGTAAATACCTTAGCGTGGAGAAGCTGGGTTGTGTGGCAGGGGTGTGTTTAACTTTCCGAGAAGCTGCCAAACTGTTTCCAAAGTGTCTGTGCCCCTGCATGTCCCCATTGTGTGCAGTCCAGTCCCCCCCCACACCCCCCATCCGCACGTGGTACGGTCGGTCTTGAGCTCCGGCCTTTCTCATGGGTGTTGGTTGTGTTCTCGTTGCAGTTTTTTTTTTTTTTTTTAAATCTTATTTTCTTCTTTCTTTATTTATTTAATTTTATTTTTTTTTTCAAATCTTTATTGTTGGATGTAAAATGTATTACAGATGTTCCACATTTTTCCCCCATTGACCCCCTCCTCCCCACTCCCGCCCCCCTCCCACCTTTTCCCACACTATTTGTCTGTGTCCATTGGTTATACATATAACTTCTTTGGTTCATTTCTTCCCACCCCCCCCAACCCCTTTCCCTTTGAGGTTTGTCAGTCTAGCAATGAATTTGTGCCAATCCTATGGTTAAGCAAGTGGCAACAGCTTGGGTGGGCTTGAAAGTTGGGTGGGCTTGAAAGTTGGGTGGGGCGGGGCGGGGCCTCAGGGAGTCAGCAGGGCGGGGCCACCAGTGTGAGCCAGGTTGCTGGAGTTCAGGATATGGCGGGTGTCTGCCGCCCCAGGGAAGGGCTCACCAAAGGAACAAAGGCCTCTGACAGCACGTTTGTCCCCGAGAAAGCCCCCTCTCCAGCCCTCGCTCCAGTGCCAAACAGCTCAGTTCTTCCCTGTATGTCTCTGGCGCCCTTCGAGCTGCCTCCCCTCCAAGCTTAGAGGGAGAGAGTCCGATAAGTCCGTGCGCGGGCCCTTTAAGGAGCTGCCTGGGGCTCCAGCCGCCTCAGCCTCCCTGAGCCTCAGTTTCCGCTGGTTTTTCCAGTCAGAAGTGATGGGGATTCTCTTCCTCGCACTGGAACCCTGAACGGGGCACCTGGTGTGGGATGGGGACCCCTCAATCCTCAGGAAGGACCTTCCCAGCTGCGGGAGCCTCCTGATTTTTATCCGCCACACGTGGGTGTGGGACCAGCCCATCCGCCTCTGCCCCTCGTGCCGCCGCCCCTCCTACCAGTCTGGATGTGGCTGCTGATTTAATTCCGTAGTTGTAGGACTGCCATTCAGCTTGATTCAGGCGGTTTTGAATGATGGTTGTTCTGTAGTTTAGTTGTAACTTTGATGTGGTTGTGGGAGGACGCGATACCGCGTTTACCTGCCCGCCATCGTGACCGGAAGTCTCTCGTTGCAGTTTTAACGTTCATGTTCCTAAGTGCCGATGATGTCAAGCACCTCCTCGTGTGTTGCCCTCCCATGTCTTCTTTTCTGGTGTTTAAATCCTTTGCCCATTTAAAACACGGAATTGTTTTTCTTACGATTGGGTTCTGTGAGTTCTTTAGGTTTTTTGGATACAAGTTCTTTATCAGATATGTGATTTGTACATATTTTCTCCTCATCTGTGGTTCATTTCCTTCTCCTAACAGTGTCTTTTGAAGAGCAGAAAGGTCTCCAGTGGAATGAACTCCAATCCACCAGTTCTCTTATGTATCAGGCTACTGATGTTACATCTGAGAAAACTTTACCTTACCTAAGGTTATAATGATTTTTCTCCTGTACTTTTTTTTTTTAAAAGGTTTATAGTTTTAGGTTTTACAAATGGCTCATTTCGACTTAATTATTTATAGGGTGTGAGGTATTCCATACCTTAAAGTTCTGTGTTTTGGGGTGGGGGGTGCATATGGATATCCCGTTGTTCCTACCAGTGGCTGCAAAGACCGTTCTTCCTCCGTCTCTTTGTTTTTGCACTTGGCACAGACCATCCGACGTCTCCGTGGGGCTATGTCACCGATGCCGTTGTTTCCAGTAAGCCCGGAAGTCAGGGAATGTCCACACCTGCTCTTTCAGCAGGAGTTTGTTACTCTGCTCACGTTACGGACGAGGAAACTGACCACAGTGTATCCGATGCCTCGCTCACAGCCTCCCCCGCACAAGTGAGCTGCTCAGCGCACACTCACGCCCCGTGTCGCACACTCACGCCCTGCGTCTTCTCATGCCGCGCCCCGTGCGCAGCGTGGCCTCCGGAGTCTGGTTTGGGGCCAACTCTCAGCTCTGGGGAAGTAACTCGAGCCACTCGGATTCCCCAGCTGTAAAGCGAGGGCAATGATGGTACCTGCTTTAGAGGTTGCGGGGAGGATTAACTGAGCATCAGCTCAGAACATCCGGAATTGCTGGTACTTGACCACGCTTGGGGTGATGTAAATGGCGTTTCCCATAGTTCACCCTAATGTAGATGTTCCTCCTCATACTAGCGACCGGGGTGGGCTTCAGAAATGGTTGCTGTAGCTTCGTTGTCATCGGCGTGGTCGTGATTCCTGCGGCCCCAGCTGCTGTTGCTTCAACGCTGTTACTGTTGAGGGCGGTGGCCCCTGAGGGTGATGCTCAGTGTTCTTGGTGTCCTCGAATCGGGCAGCTTGCCACCACCAAGTACTCCCTGGGTGACAGACATCTTGCCGAATCTGCAAAACGTATCAGGGCCCAATCTCTGCTCTTCTGGAGCGGAAGTGCCCACCTGGTGTCATAGACAAGTGTTCTCCGACAGGCCGTTGTGTGGGCCTCGTAGGAGGACGGGGAGTCTGGGATGGGAAGAACAGCCCAGGCTCAGGTGACGGCTTGTGCAAGGGCTTGGAAGGGGGAGTAGACAGGCTTCGGGGAGCCTGAGGTTTGATTCTGGGTGCAGAGTGGGAAGCAGCCCACAGTGGCCGGGATGGGTTTACAGAGAACCCATCTTTTCCCTCCGCAGGTGACCCTCGTTTGCCCGACGCCCTCGAGGAGCCCAGTTCAGAAGAGCCCTCCCATCTGCCCCTGTGCCTCCGCCATGACCGAGAGGACCATCGTCATCGACCACGGCTCTGGCTACGTGAAGACTGGCTTCTCGGGCTGGAACGAGCCCCAGCTGGTCTTCCGGAGCATCGTGAACTACCTGCCCTGCAGGGAGAACCCCGGCCCCAGCTCCGCCCAGCGGCGCCTGGGCCTCGGCATCGACATTTTCCATCCTGACACCTTCAGCTACCCCGTCCAGCGTGGCCGTGTCCTCAACTGGGAGGGTGTGGAGCTCATCTGGTCCTTCGTCCTGGAGAGATTCAGACAGAAGCACAAGGACACCCCCGTGCTGATCACAGAGTCCCCCCTGAGGGAGCCTGCGGACCGAAAGAAGACCCTGGAGGTAAGGCCTTCTTGGGGCTACCCTCTCCAGAAGCGGGGACAGCCGGCACTCTGTGTTCGGACGGGATTGGCCATCAGGATGTCGGTCTTCTTTCTTAGTCATTTGCTCCAAGAATGTTCCCCGAGTGCCTCACGTGTGCCCGGCGTTGGCACAAGGGCCTGACAGAGGCTCCTCCCACAGGTAGAGACACAGCAGGGGAGATGCCCTGCAAAGGGCTTGACTGGGACACGCAGGCCATTCGGTCATGTTCACAGATGAGATTCTGGCCCTCAAAGAGCTTACCTTATCCGGGGGGGCTTGACCATGAATACTTAACACAAAAGAATCCCAGGCAGTGATCAGTTCTGGAAACACAGTGAAGTGGGATGATAGTTGACCAGCGAGGATCAAGGATCGAGGATCGGGTGATCAGGGAGGGCTTCTCGGAGGAGGAGAGTTCAGCTAGTGAGGCTGGAGCCCAGCACAGGGGAGAGTGGTAAGAGGAGAAAAAAAGGTGAGGTCGGCAGGGGCCAGAGCTGGGCCAAATCTGGCTCAGCATCTTTTTAAAAAATTTTTTTATTGTTGTTAATTTTCACCAGAGGATATTTTTCTATTGATTTTCTTTTTTTCTTTTTTCTTTTTTTTAGGCAGAGTGGAAGGGAGAGAGGGAGAGACAGAGAGAAACATCGATGTGAGAGAGACACATCAATTAGCTGCCCAGTGGGGCCTGGGGATCGAACCTACAATCCTTCAGTCTTAGGATCAACACTCTAACTGCTGAAACAAACCAGCCAGGGCCCAGCATGTGTTTTGATAAATAAAGTTTTATTGGAACATGGCCACGCCCAGTCATTCACATATCATTGATGGCTACTTTGACTACAACGGCAGTGAAGTTGAGTAGCTGCATCAGAGACTGTGGAGCACATAAAATATTTACCATTGTAGGTTTGCTGGATAAAAATGCATGATGTGCCCTGGCCAGTTTGGTTCAGCGGTTAGAGCATCAGCCTGTGGTCTAGAGAGACCCAGGTTTGGTACCCCCTAAGGGCGCGTACCTCGGTTGCAGTTTGTCCCTGGTCCCGGTTGGTCGTGCGGGTGGCAGCCACTCGATGTGTCCCTTTCATGTCGATGTTTCTCTCTCTCTCTCTCCCTTTCTCTCCCTCCCACTCTACCTGAACAAAAATGGAAAAATGTCCTCAGGTGAGGATAAAAAAACAATTCATGATGCTGAGTTAGAGTGGAACTCCAGATACACAGTGACGAATGTTTTAGTGTAACCCGGTATGCCCCAGTATTGCACGGGGCTTTATTAGTGTCTGTTGAAATTCAAGTTTGATGGGGCATCCTGTGTTTTTACCTGCTGCACCCAGAGGCCCTGACTGCTAGCCCTTTACAGAGAACACTGCCCAGCCCCTGCTTTAGATGAATTGGAGGGACCGAAGAATTTTAGGTGAGGGGCTCACGTGTGATTTTCTACTTGGAAGAGAGGAACTTGGCTTCTATTTGGAAAGTGGGTGGTGGGGTGGGGGCAATATTCTGATCATGGCAATGGAGAGAAGATGGGGCTGTGGGGCCGGAGAGGTGGGGAAGTGGCCTGTTAGAGCCTTTCTGCATCATCGCATCAGAAACGTGGGGGTGTCCCAGAGCTGGGGTGCTGGGGAGATGTGCAGGTGCTCTGCAGAGATCGAGGGGATGATGGACAGGGGGAGAAAATCAGCCTCAGGACTTTGCCAAACCCTAACGTCTTGGCTTGATGTTTGGAAAGTTTTTATTAAAAAGACAACAGTGATGTCTTCACCTGCCAGGAGGCGAGGGGGTTTCTTTACCCCCTCACTTCCTGGGAGGCGTGTCGGGCCATGCTGTGCTTGCTTCTCTTCTAACCTCCTCTCCTCTCCTCTGAAGAAACAGTTTAGGCTGTTTCATCTCTCAGGCCAACAGAGCCAACAGGGTCCCGTGGCTGCGGCCCCCCCGATGGCCCCCAGTGCTCACACTACCGGTATCTCGGCCCCATTTCTTGCAGCCCAGTGGCTTGTCCCACCCCTCCACCCAAAGGTCTGCCGAAAGGCCATTATCAAACAAGCTCTGAGGGCGAATGTGCCTCTGTCTGCTCCTCCAGAGCCCCTGCCTCCGTGTCACAGCAGGAGCTTCGGATTTGAGGTCTGGGCCTGGCATGGTGCTGCCTAAACAGAAGTGGATCAGGGCCCTTAGTTCGAGCAAACTACCTCGTGTGTCTGTGTTCTCCCCTCTTGCAGATTATGTTTGAGTTACTGGATGTCCCGTCTCTACTCCTGGCTGACCAGCTGGAGATGTCCCTGTATGCTTCTGGCCTCCTGACGGGCGTGGTGGTCGATTCTGGCTCCGGCCTGACCCGAGTGCAGCCCTTCGTGCTGGGCCGCCCCTTGCAGCCCAGCGGGAAGACGCTGGAGTTTGCGGGCCAGGATCTCTCGGCCTATCTCACCAAGAGCCTCTTCAAGGAAGACGGCCACCCGAACAAGCTGTACCAGCTGGAAACGGTTGACACCATTCAGATGAGCAAATGCTACGTGCCGCAGAATCTGGGGGAGGCACTGGACTTCCACCGGAGCCTGCCGAGCGGCTCCGACGAGAGGAACACCTACCTGCTCCCCGACGGCACCTGTGTGGAGCTCACCCCCATGCAGCGGCTGGCCCCCGAGATGTTCTTCAGCCCCGGGGTGTTCAACCAGCAGGGGCCCAGCATCGCCCAGGCTGTGGTGGGTTCCATCAACACCTGCGAAGCCGCCCTGCAGCCCCAGCTCATCGCACACGTGATAGCCAGCGGGGGGAACACCCTCTACCCGGGCTTCACCAAACGCCTGCACACAGAGTTGGTCACCGACCAATCCGCCTGCCCCAACGCCACCGTGTGGGTAGGTTCCAGGAGAAACTTTAGTGTCTGGCTGGGAGCATCTGTTGTGGCTCATCTGTCTACTTACAAGTCTGAGTGGATGACCAAGGCGGAATATAACGAGAGATAGGGGCTGTGACCGGGCTCTTACCAGATGGGCACGGGTGGATTAATTTCAGTGGAAGGGTCTGGGCGGGGGGCGGTGAGTAGCTGGCATTGGGCTTCTTAGCTCATGGGGATTTTTTAAGTTCTGGGGTTTTATCTTGTTTCAAGAGTGGGCTCCAACCTGTGGGAGGACAGGGTGTCATCTCAAGAAACCCTCCAGGGGCCAGTTTTTCCAGGCTGGTCTGTTATTAGCATGGGAGCGGCCGGCTGCATTCCTATGCCTAATAGCCACTTAATGTTCATTGACATCTCCCTCGGGAGGTCCATTCTTTTGGTTGAGTAGGTTTTAGCTGGGGCAAGAGAGAATTAATTTGGAGTAGGGGAGAAGGAGAGGGAGGCAGGGGGGAGCTGAAGTTTTTGGTCATTTCCACTCTGGCCAGGGAGGAGTCCCTTCTCCCACGGCAGGGTCTTGTTTTACATATATGCAAATAAACCGCTTGTTTGGAATCAGCCTGACTTCTGTGCTGAATGGGGCAGTGTGGGCAGTCCCTGGGGAGACCTAGGGAGTGTGAGCATGTGAGAGCCAGGGTGGGGCCAGGTCCTGTGGAGGGACTCGGGCCTGTGGACATGGTATGACTGAGCAGAACGGGGGAGGGTCTGGAGTCTCTGGTCTTGGTCTTTCTCTGCCACGGTCTTTCTCTCCACTCATCCTACTCGTGGAATGTCTGGTAAGCAGTGGGGAGCCTGCTGTGTGCTGTGCTGGGCACTGGGGACTTGGAGCTGAGAGTTGCACGAGGTCTCTGGTTTCAAGGAGATGACCGTCTGCTGTGGGGACCTGGGCATAAATAAGGAACTGTGTTTGCGATGACGAAGAATAAAAGAAATAAGATGGAGCGAGGTCCTGTGACCTGGGGGTTGGAAGGATGCCCGCTCTCGATGGGGTGGACCGCGATGGAGACCACTGCGGGCTGTCGGGGAGTGTGCCCCCCGCCCTTCCTCGGCACACTGTGCGGTTACACTTCCCGGTTCCCTGGCAGCTGGGTAGGGCCGCGTGACCGCGCCATCCGTGCTGGCCAGTTCGTGTGTGCCTGACCCTGACAACAGTCCTATTGGCCTGCGGGGTTCAGAGGATCCCATGGCGGAGGGAACGTAGAGCTGCAGAAGGAAGGAGCCTGTGTGACTGGTGAGACAGAGCCCCTTCCCAACCTACACTGCACCGGGACACGAGGAAGAGTCTACTCTGTTCAGCCACTGGGCTGTGGGGGTTGCTTGTTACAGCAGCTGCGTTGCTAACGCTGACTAAGACAGAGAAAGGAGCTCTGGCTATTTATTTAACAAATCTTTTTTCTGGTAAGTGGTGAAAGTGGGGTTCAAGTCCAGTCTGGGCCTCAACCACGGTGTTACACGGTTGCTTCTAAAAGGGGCTCTTGGCTCAGTGTTAGGAACTGGAATAGAGTAACGGTGGGCAGAGGAGTGAGGCCCAGAGAACCCCGATGTTGCAGGGACAGGAGGAGGGATTTGGAGGCCAGAGTCCAGCTCACTTGATCTTTCCAAGATCAGATGAGATGGGGCGTGTTCAGGGTGGTATGGCCGTTCACTTTATCTTTGACGTGTGAACTATATTTTCTGGGCCACAAATCTGTCCCCAAACGTGAGCCATCAGTGGCCCACAGGGAAAGAATTGGGGGCCTAGAACGATGCCTCTTTAGTGAAATAGCTCGGAACCAGACTGGCACAGGCCCCAGGGCCTTGGGATCACACTTGAGGTAGAGGCTGGCCCTGTCATTTGCTAAGTTGGGCAAGGAGCTTAATCTCTGAGTCTATTAGGTAAAAATTAAGGAGTAAATCTTCTTTTCCTCAGAGACTTGGGGTTGAGGATGAGCTAAGATGAGGGATGAGAAGTCATTTTGAAAACTAGAAAGTGCTCGCTCTGGCTGGTGTGGCCCGGTTGGTTGGGTGATGTCCTGTGCACCGAAAGGTAGGCGGGTTGATTCTTGATCAGGGCACAAGCCTGGGTTGTGGGCTTGATCCCAGATAGGGGTGAGCAGGGGGCAGCCAGTCAACACTTTGCTCTCACATCAATGCTTCTCTCTCTCTCTCCTTCTCCCTTCCTCTTTCTCTAAAGATCAATAAACTATTCTTTAAGAAAAAAAAAAAAAAAGAAAACTAGCAAGTGCTATTGAAATATGAGATGTCACTTTAAATTTTATAATTTTGCATTTCTCGCCCATTAATTAAGGTTATTAATAACAACAGCAGCCACTGTGCCTTGCCAGGCATTGTGGTAAGTGCTTTACAAATGGACTCGCATTTGCTCCTTACTGTGACACGAATGATATTTGTCTCAGGTTCACATTGAAGCCCAAGCTAATAAGGTATTGTCCAAGTTAAAAATGGACTCAGCATCCCTAGAGAACGAGACTAAAAGCGGCTGACACATACTGGAATTTATTTGTCTCCGGGAACAAGTACACAGCCCAGTGGAACAGTGGTATATCTATATCATCAAGGACTCTTTCTGTCCTTCCATTTTTTCATTTTTAGTGTGTTGCCTCATGATCAAAAAATGGCTGCAGCATCTCCAGGCATCGTGCCTATATTTCCTGCAGGAAAAGGAAGGGTGAAAGGAGTGTGCTATTTGAGTCTATCTCTATAGTAGGAAAGCTTCACCTGCAGACTTCTCTGTTTCTGTCTCATTATTTAAAGGCTAAACACTAAAAGAAATAGGAACTCTGGCTGGTGTGGCTTTGTTGGTTGGAGTATTATCCCATATACTGAAAGGTTGAAGGTTCAATTCCTAGGTTGCGGGCTCGATCCTCATTCAGGGCACCCACGGAAGGCAACCAGTCAACGTTCTCTCTCACATCAACGTTTCTCTCTCTGGCTCTCTCTCCCTTGCCCCCTCTCTAAAATTAATAAGCGTATCTTTGGGTGAAGATTAAGATAAAAAGAGAAATGAGGCACATGGACATTGGGTGAGCTGACCCACATCTGTGCCTTGGAAGAGGAGAGACTTGAACCTAGGTCCGTCCAGATGGAAGCCCAGGTTGTGACCTACAGTGCCAGATCACCACCCAGTTTTCTGGGCCCTGTTGGCTCTGTTGGCCTGAGAGATGAAACACGAGGTCTTTCTACACTTGAATGGAAGCTGCTTTGGGGTGGCAGTCGGGTGTTGGTATACGGAGCGGTCATCTCTGTGCTCCAGGCCGGTTTGCTTGTGTATCCTGAGCCTTGAACGGGGAAGGGGGAAATGCAGAGATGAGTACGAGGGAGCTGGGCAAGGGGTATTTTCCCCCTTCTTTAGCTCTGGGCAATTGTCATCAGAACTCTTTTCCTCATTTTATTCTGAATGTAACATTTAACCTTTCTGTTCAAGCATCAAATCTGGCTTCCTGGTGTATAATTACAAACTCTTCTTCATTTTCTCTCCCCCCGTCCCCACCCTGAAAGCTTTTAAAACTCTCTCACTGGGTATCATCTCTCTCCTCCGACTCGCCAATTAAATTAAAAATAGCAGCTCCATGGGGCTGTGCAGGGCCATCAACCTAACGCGGAACTTCTGGCACGCCAGGGCCGGCAGCTGCTGAGAGCTGGGGGAAGCCGGTCCTCCGCGAGGGGTCGGGCTGCCTGCCAGGGGCAGCCAGGTGCAGGGCGGTGGGAGGCAGGGTCTTGGCAGCGAGGGAGGGCGGGCTGGGTGGGGCTGGCAGGGGACACAGAGGGAAGGGCCTTTAGCCGGGCCATTCCCAGCTGGGAGGGTGCAGTCCTGCCAGTTTCTGTTGCCAAGGCTGGGGCTTGGCATCCTTGGATTTGGGTTTGGGTGGCCTTTGGATGCCCAACTTCCCCGAGATAACCCTGGTAGAAGCTTTAGGTTCTGCTGATGCAGAGAACGAAGCTGCTGTTAAGACGAGAGCCCTCCCGGTTCAAGAAGAGACTTCCGTTGCCTCTCTCACCTTTAGGCCCCTTTTCCTTAGAGAGGCAGATGGTGACATGGACAGGGGCTGGGACTGAGGCCTGACCATCTGGAAAAGCATGCTTGCTGTGCTGCTTTCTGGCTCTGTTGCCTTGGGGGAAATTAACCTCCTGTGCCTCTGTTTTCCCATCTGTCAAATGGGCCTAATGAAGATGCCCACCTCATGGTGTACTTGATGATTACCGTATGGCTTTGATGAGTTAACATATATAAAACACTTAGCAAGTGCCAGATATGTAAGGATGAGCTATTATTATTTCTGTGCACACCAGCCTCTATTGAACAAGTTCTATCACGGGGATGGAGAGCTGGCTACAGGGAGAGGCAGTCAGCCTGAGGTCTTCTGTAGGAAGTGATGTCTGATATGACTCTTGCCAGAGGACCAGGGCTTAGCACATGCTGTTCCTTTTGTTTGAAATGCTTGTCCCTGCCACCAGCCCCATAGCTGCCTTTGGCAACCTGGTATGGGGGGAGGTTAAATAGTCAGGGCACTTAGAATGGCTGGAGAATGAGGCCAGTAGGGAGTGGGGACAGATGAAGGTGGAGGCAAGTAGGGCCAACTCTTGAAGGACATTGAGCGTCATGCCAAGAAGTGAGGACTTCATCCTGAGGGTGATCGGAGGCCTCTCAGAACTGTAAGGAGAGTCATGACATCACTTGAAGGATTGGAGCTCTGGGTATATCTTGGAGAATGGCCCAGAGAGGGACCAGGCCAGAGCAATCACATAAATCATGAACACATGCATTCCATTAGACTCCAGGTTAAATGTTCTGCATTGCCCGGGACCTTGCTCCTCTCTGATGCTTTGGCCTGGAAATTTGGTATTGGTGATACTCGGAGTTATGGTGGGTCTGAGGGACAAACAGATCTTCCTTCCTATCACCTAGCAGCTGCCTGGTAGTTGTCAGTGTTAGTGCACATCAGCCTGGTTGGTGGCAGGAGAGGCCTGGAAATACGGGACTTGGGGAGAGAGGTCGCCAAGGTGAGAGGGTGAAATGACTTCATGGCGAGGGCAAGTTGTGCCCTGCCCCAGCTGGGAGTCCGTGTCCTTCCG